CTAATAGTCATAGACAGCAATTAATGCAAATTCAGGAAAACAACAAACAGTTGAGTGTTGACTGGAAATTCCTCTCTTCTTTTGTCAAAGACAAAGAAGGGCAAACTTCAAGGTCAGTACTCAGTAGGCCACATTCTAGCCTGGGATAAGGAAAGTTTAGGATGTTCATCAGTTCACGTACAAGGGGAAACCCATTGGATGATTTCCTATTTTCCCTCGTCACATGGAATGAATCCCATAAACATATAAGCTTACAGATATCATGTAAAGTTAGAGACTACTCTTACCTTAATCGGGCTAAAATCACGAATTTCAGCCTCAAATTTTTCCTTTTTTCTTTTTTTTTTTCCTTCAATTTGTTTTTGTCAAAAAAAAAAAAAGAAAACCTTGTGATAGATTCCAATTTTCTTCTCTTTTTTATTTTTAACCCTGACAAAAGTTTATGGGCTATCTGGCCAAATATCTCATTTAATAACTCTTGGATTTTTTTGGGCCGTGTGATATAGCTGGCGTGTTCTTTTGACTAATAACTGACATAAACTTCTGGTACAAATTTCCCTGATTCATGCTTTGGAGTCTGGAGATATGGTGATTCCGTGAAGCATTTGCTCGAATAATATAGAGCTGAGTACGAGAGGTGATGATGACGAACTGGGTCGAGTCAGACTAAATGCGTATTCCATGATGTAATGAGGGAAGTAAATTGAAATCTAGCTGGGAGTAGTCATGATTCAAACCAAGCCCTGTTGATGAAGTTCAAGGGGCAGTTGCCCGTTGGCAGAAGTACTCATGGACATCTCTATCACTAGTAAAATTGTTTTCCTTTCTGAAAATGTCGTTCCATTAGATTGTTTTAAAATTCCTTTCCCTCTATGCTCTATCTCATTCGCAATATCCAAATTCAATTCCCTTTCCATCTCGTTACAACATTTTATATTAAAAACTATTTCCCTGCTTTATCCTCCGTTGCCAAAACAACATTATCTGTTCAGCATTTGTTTCTTGATGCTTTTCCCTACATTTTAACCAAGTTTCACCACCTACATGGAAGGGACACTAATGCCTAATAGTTCCTGACTTTACAATAAAAACAAGAGGAAAGGGAAAAAGATAGTTCTATAAACTAAAATCCAGTCTGTCTCCTGATTGACTGATCCAGATTGCTTCCGCAAATAACAGAAATGTCAATTACAAGTTAATGACCACATTTGGAAATGAATACTTTTAGCAAGTTATTGCAGACTATATCCAGCTCATAGACACATATATCTCCTTCTCTCAGAAGGTTTTCCCTTGCAAATTCGATCCAGCCGATTGTTAATTTAGCCATGCGGAAACGCGTGTTGCTTGTTATCTTGACAGGCCACAATCTATCTGCAACCTGAAGTATCACCTCCTGGATGTTTGGCTTGAAATATTGCTTAACAAATCTAAATGGTATATCCTGCACAAAGTAGTTTCCAGAATATTGTTACTATTGTCGTTGCTCTCAGATATCAATTTACTAGCACACAAAAGCCGTTTAACCGATGCATATATATGATTCCTGCAAAATTCTAATAAGGAATACTACTAGCATAGGAAATCAGAGGTAACACTGGTCAAAGTATATATGTCGGAATTCATTGATAATAAGCCTACCACACGCTGCTCCTTCAGGTGAGATGGCAGCACAACTCTTTTGAAGTACGGAGGCACTAAGGCTTTTTCTCTAACAGCTTTAGGAGACTGTGAAATCAAGCCTAAAGGTTCCTGGCTAACTCCTGCACGAAGTCCATTTCCATGTATCAGTTCGGCTAGACATACCGGCTTCGCCTATGTTTTTAAAGATTCAACATATGGTCTCTGCTATTTATACTTGTTAGCCAGTTTTCCAGTGAGGGAAAATTGATAATGAGAAAATCCAAGCATTTAGGCATATGAATGAAAGGGATCATTGACTTAATACTAGTGGACTTACACACCTTGTGATTGGTGGCAATTTGCATCTGCAATAACCTTGAAAATGAATACTTTGAAGGAAGTTTTAGTGTCATTTGTCATTTCTAAGACACAAACATCACCAACTTTTAATTCATTGTCATTTACAAATGCCCTCCAACCATGACAGATTCTTCCACATGGTCTTCCACTGCTTCGCTGATGGTACTCTGCTGGCCATGATTTTCCATTTGGAAGACAAAGGACTACAGCAATGTTGGTGAAGGTACCCTTGAAATGCTTCCTGGCAAAATGGTCTGGTATACACTGGTATAAAAGAAAAATGTATACCAGTTAATTCAATTTCTTGTTTTTTAAAGAAAAGAAACTACTTTATTTTAAAGGATTGAATGCAAAATGCTTATTACTATTTTTCATTTCTGCCAACATCTTTCTTCTAGTAACATATTTCATCAGCAAAATCATGATCAGTACGCAAAAACAGTAATGATAACAGGTTTCAATTGAAAAAAACTAACCAATGCATGTTTACGAACATATGATGGCTGTAAGGCAATGACAACAAATGGATTTTCAGAGGTGAAAGCTTGGGCTCTTTGAAGAGCTGTTTCAGGAGCCTTCAGTGGTTTCCGGCATCGCCAATGAGTAGATGAGGTTCGAGCTTCCCTTTTTGCTGGACAGCAAACGTCAGGAAAAGCTCGTGATTCATGAAAATTTGCCTTCTTACCTTTGTAAATTAATACTTTGAATGATATTTCAATGCAATTAATTAACTCAAAGGCGCAAACATCACCAACTTGTAAGTTGTTATCTCGTACAAAGGTACCCCAACCCTTGCGGAGTTTTACATAAGGTCGTCTGTTACTTCCTAGCGTAGAATGGTACTCAGCAGACCAAGTTTTCCCATTAGAATCACAGAGAATTATATCACCATGATCCATCAAATATTTCCTGGAAAACTCTTTAGGTATACTCTGCATAAAACAAATTAGTGCAAAACAGAAGATATAACTTTAAATTTAGAAAACAAAATTCAACGCAAAAATGAAAAAAAAAAATCAATTTCAAATAAGAGAATAAAAAATGCTTGTAAGTTTTGCTCATCTCTGCCAACTACTTTTTGGTACACACTTGATCTAGCACAGTTTTCAATGGATAACTTACCACTACACAGTGACGCTGGGAACAAAGATCAACATATGTTGGATGCATGAAAACCAAAAAGAATGGATTTTCGGACTTGAAAGCAGCATTAGCTCTCTGAAGAGCTTTAGATTTTTCATCAGATTTCCCTTGTTGCACCCTGCAAACTTTAGTCGATCTCATCACTTCTTTTCCAGTTGAAAACCCATTATTATGTTTAAATCCTGCTGCGACAGATTCAAACTTCAATGTTCTCTCAGTTTTATCACCAGGATTTTTTCTCATCATCTTCCGTGGCCTAGGACATTGCAATTCTGGTTTCCTTCTCATGCCTGTGGAGGTGTCATTTATGATCTGTACAGAGTCATCCTCTTCAGATTCTTCAATCTTCTCCTCTTGTTGCTGAATTTTCTCATTGTCATTAGCATTTGGATATTCAATCTCTAATGCACTTCTATCAAATATGAGGACATGGAAACGACAATTCCCTTCATATCTAAAAACCAAGAAATGTCCGTACTCCAGAGAGTAATGCTCTGCAAATTTTTGCCAGCCATTTTGCAGCCATATTTTACCATCACATTTTTTCAGTTCTACATCCCATGCTTCACCATTTGAGACCTTCAAGAGCACCGGGCTTGACAGGGCATTCCCATATTTTCTCGCAAACTTGTGAGGAATCCCCTGTGAACCAAAATGAATAAACGTTCTAATCAAGAACCATACAAATATTGTAAATTACAAAATATAGTAAATCATTCCCATCCCCTGCCATTTCTCTTTTTTTTTTTTTTTTTTTTTGGGATTTTGGGTCTATTGTCCATTAGATTTATCAGTATAATAACTAATGAAGAATATCAAAATCCAATATGGAAGGTAAAAAAATAATCACATTTTTCATTAGTCTATACATACTTGTTCTGACAAAAAACAAGTGCAGAAACTAAGAACATTAAATTAACACTACATTAATCAAAAGTACAAAGTACAAGCCCGTTGAATCCTGCAATAATTACCTGTGACTGAATCTAGACATCTAAAGGGGAAAAAAAACCATGCAAACTCTAGTGACCATAGACTGGTAGAACAGAGATATAAACCCCATAAGGTGGAGATGGCATAAAAAGAGCAAGCAAATGAAAATTATTTGTTTCTGTCAAATGCCAAATGCCATTGAAAAGTTACAATTTACTCTCATTATTACATTTTTTCAAGACATCTATAACAAGTCAAAGAATTTCTTTCATTGAACTAGGAGAAAATATAAACTTACAAGTTTGCCATTCTGAATGGCATCCTCGAGAATCACCTTAAAGAAATGGAGTGGTTCCGGTGAATAAACATTACGTCTGCCATGATGAGAAGCCATTGCTAAACTTGAAGGAGTTCAGAATAAGTACTTACAACCTAATGCTAAACAGCTAAAACACAGGGTTAATATATATTTATAGTTTATTAACAAATGGCCAGGCCCAATTATTATTGAAGAGCAATCATGCAAGTTCGAGACCACTCTGTTAGCTGCAAACTCCACTCTTCCTTGACAGTTGACAAGAGGGACTCAGATCCTGACAGTGAATGGTTTTGACAATTAGCCAGTTGTAGCCATGACAAGATAATAGAGAAGAATGGTTTCGTCATTCAATTGTCATTTCTTCTCATTGCAACACTTCTATCACATCCAAACCCATTTTTTCTACCAAGTTACTTGCAGACCATAATTGGTAGATGGCGTCCTCATTAACATGAAAATTGCATCCGTTGTACTTTCTCTAGTCATGAAACAATGAAATACAATAAAATAAAATGAAAAATGCTATTGAGTATGGGAACAGATATAATTTGAACCACACCAAGTTTTTCAACCAGAAAGAGAGGGAAGAAGGAAAAAATGAACGAGTACAAATACTTTGCACATTTACATAAAAAAAATCCAAACAATCGTACCCAGCCAAAAAGGAAATTCCAAAAGTAGACCCCTCGTAAATGATGACCGAGAGTTAATTACTTTCAATTACCCATTAGTAAAAGATAAAGAAAGCTTTTAACATAGCTATTTTTCGTCCACTTCGGCCCGGTAAATAATTACATTAAATGACAATTCATGGCACTTTGACTTAATCTTCTCGAAGACGCAAACATCACCAACTCCCAAGTTATTGTCTTCTGCAAATGCCCTCCAACCTTCAATGAGTCTTGCTCTCGGGTTTGCTTTGTTTGCTTCACGATAGTATTTAGTCCACCAAGTTTTCCCATCTTTCATGCAGAGGATTACATCCCCAACGCCAACCCTTTTTCTCAAGTAGTTCCTGGAAAAGTTCAATGGTATAGCCTGCATGAAAATCAGTAAATAAATTAGACTTAGGAGCCTTATTTTAAGTTGTAGACGAGAGAATCGATTCAAGTTTTGTATTGAATGCTTACCAATACATGCCCACTACAAACATAGGATGGCTGCATAACAACAACGAAAAATGGATTCTGAGACTTAAAGGAACTGGCTCTTTGAAGAGCTTTAGTTTTTTCACCAGCTCGTAGCGGTTGTGTCCTCCTGGTGCCCTCAGTTTGTGGGCCTTTCCGCCTTGTAGATGTGGCTTTAAAGGAAAAGTCCATGAAACAGTGCAATACACGAGGCTCTCAATACGTAGTAAAACTAACAAATCTAAAACACACACCTAGCAATCATAAATAAAAATTCTTACCTCCATAACCTTGATTCTCATTTGGATTCTCAAGCTTAATCTCCCTAAATTTATTGTCATCAGGTCTAAGATTTGGAACAAATGCTTCTACAAAAGAATTGATCCTAGTATTAAGGGTTGAATTGGTTCTGAATCTTCCGTTAATCGTCTTACAAGGCCGAGGACATGGCAGACAATTACTAGGTTTGGTTTTCTGTCCACTGGCTTGATATCTTGGGGCAGTCAATTGGGCAGCACAGCTAGAATTTCCTACACAACAATTAATAAAATGATCATCAGATTCAGATTTTCGTATAAAGCAATATTTGGATTCAACTCGACAGGCTCCAGTATCTTCTGCTGATTACAGAAAAATATATTAACCAATAGATTGAAAATGTCATTAATTTAACAACAAAATCAAATAGAATCCTACTGACCTTGTGATGACAGAGAAAAATCTGCACCTGGTGCAGCTGGAAAAATGGAGACCTTGAATGAAGTTTTATTGTGGTTGATCAGCTCAAAGACGCATACATCACCTACTTCCAAATTATTGTCCCGTGCAAAAGCCCTCCAAGCATGATAGAATTCAGCTTTATGTTGTCCACAGGTAAATACTTTAACAGAAAACTTAACAATCCAAGTTCTCCCATCTGAAACTTGAAGGATGACTTGATCCTTCTTCTCATCAAGATATCTCTTCACGAATTTGTATGGTATACTCTGGAAAGGTAAGGGGAAAAAAATCATAGAACCTGGGAAGAAAAAACTGTGTCCAACCAAGAAATTAAAGGAGCGTCATTTTAGTTTCCCATAGAGACCAAAACACAATCCGCTTATGAAAACGTCTGTGTAGTGCTTGGAAGACACTTGTGTAACCAATCTAAGGAGATTAATTAAAGAAGAAAGGACCTAAAAGTTTTCTAGTAGAAATCTTACCAGGCTACATCTATCCTTCAGGTATCTCAGTTGCATGACAACCTTGAAAAAAGGATTTTCAGATTTGAAATTACTAGCTCTTAGAGTTGCTCTTGCTTTCTCATGGGAAGTCAATGGTCGCATCATGCACAAATGCTTAGACTTTGTGTTTCTCTGCGTTGACAATCTTCCATTACTAGCATTTGCCGAAAAGCTTATACCACCTGATATGCATCAACAAGAAATCTTCAAACCTTGCCATGATATATGGTAATAAATAAATTCAGTTTACTCAAAAAAAGAATGAAGACTGCTGTCCCTGAATTTCTTCATGAATAGTTCAATTATTTTCCTTTGCCTCCTAGCTTCATCCCAAAAGACCTAATAGCCTTCAGGTCAAAATTGTATCAATGAACGAATTTTGAAGTGCTATTGTCATGGCCAAGACTCAATCTCCATGTCCGTGTGGTTTTAAAATTACGGACGTAAACTCATTTTATGTCTCAAATTCAGCTTAATTATTATAATTCATATTTTTATAAAGTGTGAAAAAATATTTATTTACAGTTAGTTGTAATTTTGTAATCTATATATTTATATTTGTATCCTTAGAATTAAATATTTATATCTCTAGAATTAAAGACAAAAATTAGAATAGACAATCTCTCAATTATAAGATTAGTTTTTTAAGAAGATTTAGTTTTCTAGTTTAACCTCTAGTTAGTTGTATATAAACATAAGGTTCTTGTATAATTCTAAATGAGCAGTTTTTACAATATACATTCAGTTTTCACACTAATTTATATTTTAGTTTTTCCACATGATATCAGAGCTTTAGGCTTTTCTTGAGAAGCAAAATTTTCAACCTTCATTGCTGACTTTTTTAGGCCTTAATTGTCGAATCCTGTTTAGGCCTTCATTGTCGAACTCTTTCAAAAAAAGATATCACTACCACCTAATTTGAGGAAATATTAACTGAAAAAATCACTGGAGTACTACAGATGTCTCAGAAACAAGAAAAATTCGATAAGGAAGAAATTGAAAAGCTGAGAAACTTATTGAAAATCTTTGAAAAACCTATTGTGGTATGTTCTTTGGGTAAGGTTTCTAATTCAGGTAAAGCTTTCGATTCTCATGGATTAAATGTCTCGGTTAAGCCTATTACGAGTTCTTGGATCATTGACTCAGGAGCCACAGATCACATGACACATTCCTCACAAAAGTTTAGTACATATAACCTGTGTCCTAGTAATAAAAAAATTATTGTTGCAGATGGTTCACTTACCACAGTGACAGGATTAAGAGATGTTCAAGTTAATCCCTCGTTTGTTCTAAAAATATTCTTCATGTTTCTGGATTGTCTACTAATCTGATATCTATACAAAAACTTACCAGAGATATGAATTGTAAAATAATTTTTTATCCCTCTTATTGTGAATTTTAGGATCAGAGTTCGGGGAAGATGATTGGACTTACTAAAGAGAAGGATGGACTATGTTATCTTGAGACATCAAATAATACAAGTAATATCAAGAATAGTTTACCTTTGTCATTTCTTTATGAAAAATCTTCCAATAAAGACAAAATCTGGTTGTATCATTTTCGTCTTGGACATCCTTCTTTTAAAACCTTAAGAAACATGTTTCCTTCTTTGTTCAAAGGATTAAATATCGAAGATTTTTATTATGATGTTTGTGAACTTGCAAAGCATAGACGTGTGTCTTTTTCAATCAGTAACAAAAGAAGTTCTACTCTCTTTTACTTGATTCATAGTGATATTTGGGGTCCCTCTACAATTTTTAATATTTCTAGTACGAGATGATTTATTTCATTCATAGATGATTGTACCAAGGTCTCTTGGATTTTTTTACTTAAATTCAAATTAGATGTGAATAGTATGTTTTTAAGCTTCCAAAACATGATCCAAAATCAATTTGGAGTGAGAATCAAGAGATTTAGGTTTGATAATGTAAGAAACTACTTCAACCATAGTCTATCTACTTATTTTCAAAAAGAGAGATTATCCATGAGTCATTTTGTGTTAATACTCCATAGCAGAATGGAGTGATAGAGAGAAAAAACAGCCATTTACTAGTCATAATTTGAGTCTTTTTTTTTCAAGCAAATGTACCTAAATTTTACTGGAAGGAAGCTATTCTCACTGTCACACATATTATAAATAGGTTACCTTCAAGGGTTTTAAGATTTAAAACTCCTATAGAACTACTCTTACAATTTTATCCCAACATCAATACCACAAACAATCTCACACCTAGGATATTTGGTTGTACATTATTTGTTCATGTTCACAGTCATAATAGGGGAAAATTGGATTCAAGAGTGATTAAGTGTATTTTTGTGGGGTATTCTTCAATTCAAAAAAGATATAAATGCTATCATCCTCTTACCAAAAAAGTAAATGTGTCTGTAAATGTCACTTTTTGAAAAAAGTAAATCATTTTTTACTCAACCTTATCTTCAGGGGGAGACTTCATTCATGGAAGATAAGGATAAAGATTTCTTTTTGCTTGATTTGTCTCCTTCTTCAACATTTACACCTATTAATTCTTCTAAGTCGAAAACCTGTTTTTGTTGAGCTCAAGTCAAATATTGAATTTGAGTTTGAACCCATTCCAAATACAAAAGATGTGATAAAGGATAATATTATTTTTGATTCTATGAAAGAATTACAGGTGTACTCAAGAAGAAAAGTTTCAGATCCTGAACCAGTGCCAGTCAAAAAACTTGATCCTAACTCTGAAAATGAGGTAACTATAATTTTTTACTCTGTTTCTCAAAATGAGCATGAATCTTCTAAAACTATAATTAGTGATTATGATCTGCCTATTACCATTAGGAAATGAACTAAAGAATGTACTAAGCATCCATTATACCTAATTTTTAATTTTGTGTCATTTGAAAAATTCTCACCATCCCATAAAAATTTTCTTGTGAGCCTAAACACTATTTCTATTCCAACTACATTATTCGAGGTATTATCCAGTGAGAAATGGAGGCAAGCCATGAAAATAGAAAATGGAGGCCTTAAAGAAAAATCAGACATGAAAACTGGTAGAGTTGCCTAAAGAAAAAATTCAGTGGCATGTAAATGAGTTTTTACTGTAAAATACAAAGCAGATGGTACTGTTGAAAGGTATAAAGCCAGGTTAGTGGCTAAGGGCTACACTCAAATCTATGGAGTGGATTATTAGGAAACTTTCGCTCCAGTTGTCAAGATAAATACAGTTAGGATTTTGTTATCATTGGCTACAAATTACAATTGACAACTTCAACAATTTGATGTAAAGAATGCTTTTCTAAATGGTGATTTGGAAGAAGAAATATATATGAAGGTTTCACTGAGATTTGGAGATCATATAGAAGCAAACAAAGTATGCAGGCTAAAAAAGGCTTTATATGGCCTTAAACAGTCTCCTAGGGCTTGGTTCGAGAGATTTATTAAAGTGATGCTAGCAATGTGATATAAACAGAGTCAAAGAGATCACACATTATTTATCAAGCACTCTAATTTAGGGAGAGTCGCAGTTCTATTAGTATATGTTGATGATATAATTGTAACTGAAGATGATAAAAAAAAGAAAGAATCTCTAAAACAGTGTTTGGCTAGATAATTTGAGATAAAAGAGCTAGAGAGATTGAAGTACTTCCTAAAAATTGAAGTAGCTCACTCACGGCATAGTATCTTCATCTCACAATAGAAATATATGGTGGTTCTTCTGAAGAAAACTAAGAAACTCACATGTAAACCTGTAAATACCCCTATAGATCCTAATCATAAAATTGGAGAAGCTAATAAAGATGCTGCTGTAAATAGAGAAATGTACCAAAAATTAGTTGAAAGACTCATTTATCTCTCACATACTAGACATGATATAGCATATGTTGTGAGTGTAGTAAGTCAATTTATGTATAGTCCTAAAAAAGTGCACCTACAAGCTGTCTACTGTATATTGCACTATTTGAAGGTCAATCCTGGGAGAGGTATCTTATTCAAAAGAAATTTGGGGTTAGTTCTAGAAGTATATACAGATATTGATTATGCAGGTTCAGTAACTGATAGAAAATCCACCTCAGGCTACTGCACTTTTTAGGTGGTAATCTTGTGACTTGAAAGAGTAAAAAACAGAATGTGATGGCAAGATCAAATGTTGAAGCAGAGTTCAGAGCAATGGCTCAAGGAATTTGTGAATTATTATGGTTAAAGATTATCCTAGAAGACTTGAAGATCAAGTGGGATGGACCAATGAAACTCTATTGTGATAACAAGTCTGTAATAAGTATTGCACACAATCCTATGTAACATGACAGAACAAAATACATTAAAATAGATCAGTATTTCATAAAGGAAAAACTAGATAATATGTTGATTTGTACACTTTATGTATCAACCAAGGGTTAACTTGCAGATGTGTTGACTAAAGGTTTCAACAATGCAACATTTCAAGAAATTATTTTCAAGCTGAGAATGAAAAACACCTATTCACCAGCTTGAGGGGAAGTGTAGGAAAACACTTATTTACAGCTAGTTGTAATCTTGTAATCTATATATTTATATCTGTATCCCTAGAATCAAGGACAAAAAATTAGGATAAAAATCTTTCAATTATAGGATTAGTTTTTTAGGAAGATTTAGTTTCCTAGTTCAACCCCTAGTTAGTTGTATATAAACCTAAGGTTCTTGTATAATTTTAAATGAGCAGTTTTTCAATATACATTCAGTTTTCACACTGATTTATTTCTTAGTTTTTCCACATAAAGTATTATCCGTTCTAATTCTCTTGATTCTCAAGACCAATTCTATATTCAATCGATATGAGATTCTTTATTCTATTCCAGAACCGTAACATCTTTTCTTACTCCAAAAGAAGTCCACCGTCTTCGATGGCACATCATTAGTATCCTCAAAGCTGGTTCTGACATCATTTATCACGGGATGAGTCTCAACTTCCAGACTCGTACAGCTCCAGAATCCAGACATGCACTCATTTAACTTTTTAAATCAGTCTAACTGTCACGGTTTATACCCTTATGAGGTATTATTTATTCTAACCCTTTTGATCATACGATTTTATCCCATAAAAATATTAGAGTATGTGAATTTTTATATTTGGAGACTAACTCTAATAATCAACCAATGTGAAATTACTGACTCTACTCCAAGACCATGACACTATCACGTGACGCTTCAATTAGTTCTCTGTAAATTACAAAGCCTAGGATACATTAACTAAATGCTGATTCAATAGACATTTGGAAATATATATACATATATATAATATTTATAAATAAGCCCGCGAAATTTGAACTCCAAATTTAAGTGTCATCTAAGACTTCTCTAGAAGCCAACAATCTGATTTTTTGAATCATGAGCACCAGATGCAGACAATGGCACATTGTTCACAGAGACTCATCAATTCAGTTTCATCATCAATCTTGCAGTCAGATTCAATATCAGCTACTAAGTTTCACTTGGATTTTAATTGTTTCAGTCTGATATTATCATCTCCTTCCAATTCAACTTGAGAATGACAGAAAAATATGCAAATGCTTAGATCAAACAAGACAAAATGACTTAGCAGATTATTACTCACACAATTTGGAACAGCAGCTTGTATCTTGACGAACCCGGTAAATAACTACGTTCAACAAGATTTCCGTTTGCCTAATCAACTCAAAAACACAAACGTCACCAGCTTCCAACTTGTTGTACTGCATGAATTCCCTCCAACCATTATAGAGGATTGCTTTTATGTATTTGTTTCTGCTTATATAGCGCCAGTACTGAGCAGACCAAGTTTTACCGTCCAATGTGCAAAGGGTTACATCACCAAGATTTTCTTTCAGGAACCTTGTGGTAAAGTCCGTTGGTATGCACTGTGCAGGAAAAAAAAAAGTTCAAATGGCAAGAAGAAAGATGCCTGTAGTTTAACTCATCTTTACAAAAGCAATAATTTCCTGAAATACACGACTTCCATAAACAAGGGGTGTCAACTGTCACCAAATTCAAAAATTATTCATGGTATGGCAGGTTTCATCCAAGCTTTACCATTTTGCGTCCTGGATTAATGTATGAAGGCTGCATTGTTACCACAAAAAAAGGATTATCCAATGTGAAAGAACTGGCTCTTTGCAAAGCTTTATCATATTCGTTGGCTCCAAATGCATGTCTCTCCCTAGGAACCTTAGTTTGCAGGCCTCCTGCACCAATAGACAAATCTTCACAATCTCTTTCATCTGAACAAAGAACTCTCACAGAGTGAAAAATATGACATGAGATTCATCCATTATTCCCCAAAGAGTGATAAATAAATAAAAGCAGAAAGACAAGCATAAAGGTAAAGGTTAATTAAAACTATTTATCAAAACATTAAAAACTAATAAAGAATTAGACATGCCCCAAAGGTGAGTTCTCATTTTCTTCGAATGCAGTTGTTAAAATACACTCGATTTGCAACCATTATAGATAAGAACATGGAGCCAGAATTTGTAAAATGTAGAATTGCACTTACTTTTGTCTGTTGGAGTGGTTCTCAGTTTCTTACGAGGAAGAGAACATGGTGGTCGTGATTTCTTTCTAGTTTTCTTGTGTGGAAGAGTCTCATACAAGTTTTCATCAAAGGTATCAGTTTCAGCTTCTTCCTTGTCAGGTTTTTGACACTCTTCATCACTCTGGTGATCTTCAATATAACTAATGTATGGATACTCTATCTCTGATGCACTCATATCAAATATAAGTACCTGAAATTTGCAATTCCCTTCATATCTGAACACCAATAAATGCCCATACTTGAGAGAGTAATGCTCAGCAAATTCTTGCCATCCATTTTGCAACCAAACAACACCATCAGATTTTGTCAGTTCAACATGCCATGTAGCACCGCCTGGGACCATTAATACTACTGGACTTGATAAGCCATTTCCATATTTTCTCACAAACTTTCTAGGAATCCCCTGTAGAAAATATGAATCTAAGTCTCAGATAAGTGAGATGGCACATGAATATATAATTCAAACCAATGAGAAATATCAAAGAGCGAGAGAAGAATGCTTACAAGCCTCCTATCCCGAATAGCGGCCTCTAAAATGATCTTGAAGAAATGGGGTGTTTTTGGTGTAAACATGGAATGATAGTTCTCCCTCTGGTTTTAAGAACAGTAAGAAGTCATTAGTGAAACAGCTCAGGAAAGGCATGGTTGCTATGTTTCTGGAATTATATACATAACTAGCTTGGTATCTTTTATAGTTAATTCCCAGCTACCAAGACATGTAGCTTAACTACTCATCAATGAGAAATTAATTCAAATTACCACAAATGCTGGGCTCGAGGTAGAATCATGATAATGATGATCAGTTGCCTGATATCGTTACCTCAGACTCAGAACATTAAAGTAAAACAATTGACCCATCCATTGATTCACTGACCTGAAAACTTTCAGGTGGTGATTCACCAATTGTTGTCAAAATTGGATTGAACAATGAATTATTTAAAGTGTTAGATCATCGTTAATGATTCAATGTTAGGTCAACATAATCAATCAGATAAAAAATATTTTAAAAAACAAATAAATTATGTTACAAATAATTTCATATAATTAAGATTTATAACATAATATAAGTGTGAGAAAATTTTCATATAATTAAAAATATATATTAAATGAGTTTAATTTATAAAATTAAACTCAAAATTCAAACTTCTAATTCAAAGTACTAATCAAATAATTCAATCATATTTGGAGGACTAAACTAAAGTTTGAGGCTACATCATAGACTACAAATTTTATCACAGTTCAAAGTTCAAACTGACCAAGATTTTGGCCTTCAAAAATTGATCTCTCATGTACCTTTGTATTTTGATGCCAAGTTCTTTCAGCGCACTAAGAAGAATAAAACTTCAAGTTTCAAACCTGCTTAGCTTGACTGAATTTGAGTTTGATGCGGCACTAAGAAGGAGAAAGCAGAGAGGGATAGGTTTTTCAAGTTGTACACCAAATCCAATTGTTTTCTTTAGAATTTTAATTTTTAATTTTTACTCTTTTTTCTTTTTTATTATATATTGTGAATTTGTAACTTTTTTAATTATTTAAAATAGATTAATTTGTTTAAATGGCGAAGCAATCCATAAATTTAGTTAAAATTTTAAATTATAATATATTTAAACTTTATCTGATTTAATAAAATTCGGCTGATTTACAGGTTTAAGTATTAAACCATGGATCAAATCTAATAATAAAAGCGAATCCAAAGATTTAAATGTCAGTTACCAATTTCATTGGTATTATCTGATTTAATCGGATTCTGATAAGACAAGAATATAAAATGTAACTGCCTATCCAAAAATATTTTACTGCTAAAAGTATTATATATTCTCATTTATCATGTAGACGTTAGAAAAATACGGAGTTTCCAATTTGACTAATACCAAGTTCTTAAGAAAATTAAAATTTAATTTAAGTGATTCATTCTATCACTTACGATATTCAATTCAATCTGGATGCAATCACCATGCGGGAAAAAAATTTTCCATTAAAGTAAATACTAAAAGACTTCTGAAAGTCATTTAAGGATCGAAAATACAGAAACTCTGGAAATAAAAATCTAACACCAATGTTTGACAGGAAAAGCAGAACTTTCATTCAAAATATTTAATGATGTCTTCTAAAAATTGATACATTTAGTATGGCATTCCTGGTTTTTAGATATGAGAAAAGAAGAAGGCAACAGAGCCAGAACAAGGCAATTAGACATTCATAGAAAATCCAGTCAGTAACCATAACCAAGAAAAATGCAGAGAGAGGAGAATGGTTACAACAAGCTTATCGTTAAGAAGGGAGTTCTCCAGGGTTATCTTGAAGAAATGGGGACATTTAGTGTAAACACGAACAGCTCATCTTCTCTCCGGAAATGAGAACCCATCACTCATCCTCCAGAGTCCAGAAAACGATCAAGTTTCTCTTTCAGAGTTCACTTGAAATCTGATGCTGTAGCCAATATATTCTGCTCAAATTAATTTTCAATTCTGATCCAAATTCTGCTTCTGGACTAGAATTTTAAATGCTACTATGACTGTCAGCTGGAACTCATTATCCTTTGGCATTTAATGGCCAGAAGTGGAATCCGTTGGTTCATTGAAGATTACCCCCAATAAATAGCTTGGCATAAAGGGGAAACTGGACCAATATTTTGAGGTGTTACCAATATTAAAGGGTCCAAAGGACTAAAGCCATGATTATAGAGTATTTAATGCAAATTCTGCCGCTGAAATCAGCATAATACCTTGGCTATCAATCTTCCTATCTTCTTTGTCTTTGTATAAAAGTTAACCCTGTGCTGTAATAGTAGAGTCTGTTGAAGCTTGGCAGTTGGCACCAATATTTAAGGGCGGGCTTAATTTTGAAACTGACTTGTTGGAAACAATATTTGGAATCAAAGTGACATAGCCTTGCATGCTTACAGTTAAATTTGGCTCTCAACTCCTGCTCTGTCTCAGGATAGAACTTTATAAGTTTTATTGTAACACAGGCAAGAAAATGGAAAAATAAAGAAGTCCAAGAATCATAGTAGTATTACGCAATTCCATGCAGTTCACAAATGATTAAACAATAAGATGTGCACAAACCTGATTCATCCAACAAATTAGGCCCATATATGCTCAACCTGAATATGGAACTGAAAATCATATATGCTCAACTGCTTACAAAAGTAGTTCAAGAAGTGGGTCAGCACTCTTAACCTTTAAATAACAGAACAAAAAGAGGAAGGACAAAATGAAACTTTCCTAGCAACAGTGTTCGTCTTTCCATCTGGCTCTCCAAGATGACCCTGACCATTCAAACAACGTTTTTGAAGATGGATATATACTTTTAACCATTGTTATACTTCTTTAATGAGCTCAGACAAACATCAGGGATACCTTCCCCTGTGAACTTAGTTTATATTTCCCAATAAAGCTAGGTGTTGCAGCCTGCAAAATAGTAGTTGTTAAATATCATCATGCCTGTAATTGTGTTACGTGTAGTATGACATAACAATTCAGATGAAGAAAATAATACTGGAACATTTAATCTAAAGTCTGCATTATAAAGCTGATACATATAACTAACTAAGACAAAGAAACCATCCGATAAAGGAAAAAATTTAAGTGCTTATTGTGTTTTGCTTGGAACATATCTATGTCAATGCTCTCCAGGTGAAACTATCGGACAACCTTTTTGAAGAATGGAATGTTTGAAACAAGTTTATATAGCTTCACCTTCAAGAGTTTGTGATGTGAATGGTTGAGAACTTCCTTAAGTAGTTTACACACTTGTACCCTTTCCATGTGTCTACAGAGTAAACCTTCCTACATTTAGTCAACTGATAGTTGAGGAATATTGTTTTTTTCTTGAGTATTTGATGCATGTTAAAGTTTAGTTTAAACTTAAATCTAACATGTCTTAATTCTGGGGAACCTGATTTGTTGATGAATACTATTTCCAGTTTACTAGGCTTGACTAGATTTAGTTTTAAACTTAAATCTAACATGTCTTAATTCTGGGAACCTAATTTGTTGATGAGTAGAATTTCCAGTTTACTAGGTTTGACTAGATTTATCTTTTAACTAGTAATTTGATAGCCAAGGGGATTAGTATTTTTAACTTCCACTCACCTAATTTCAATGAGGAAGAATTTGCAATATCAGCAGCTGAAAATATCACAACTTCCAACAAAATTCCATTTTCCTTGATCAGCTCAAAAACACAGACGTCTCCCACCTTCAATTTATTGTCCAGAACAAACGTTCTCCAGCTTTTAGTGCAAAATATGGCATTTGCACGTATACTGCTTACTATTCTTTTGTAGTCAATAATCCAAGTCCTCCCATCTGAAACTCTCAGGATGACTTCACCATTTTTCTTGAAATATCTCTTGGAAAATCGGTTGGGTATGTGCTGCCAAAGGAAAAGAAGAAAAAAAAGTTGATAAGAACAAAGATAGTTTTAGATATTAATCAGCAAAGTATATTCATACTAGTCTTTTTCTATTTGGGATGTGTTCTGCTCCAAACCAGACAAGCTCATCATGCATGGGGACTAATAAAGAGCCATTTGCTAAACTTGAAATATATAATTGGAATGAACAGATGATTCAACGGAAGTCTTTGAACCGATTTCTCACCAGAGGACTACCATTAAGAACATATGATGGCTGCATCACAACAGTGAAAGAGGGATTTGCAGATTTGAAAGCACTAGCTTGTATACAAGCTCTTTCTTTCTCAGTTGGAGTCAATGGTTGCATCTTGCCAATAATGTCAGGTTCCAGACACCTTTGAGCATCTGACATCCCTCCACTATCAACTTTTGCAGAATGTTTGAATTCACCTGTTAAGATTGAAAAATTAAACAATAGCTTTGCAAGCATATATTACTTTCATCAAACATAAAGAAGATCACCCCCAAGTTCTTTTGTTAAATATTGGAAATTCACGCTTTTCCTTTGTTTCTCAAGCTTAATCCCCTTAACTTGAATGCTTCCACTTGGATCGATTCTCATCATCTTACAAGGTTGAGAGCATTGGGATGCCAATGTCATTTTTGTTTTCTGGTTTAACGGACAGTCATCCAAGATTTCAATAAACGAGTGACTTTCATTTTCCTCAATTCTTGGATCTTTAAATTCTCTGGAGCTGGAGGGACATCGACTTTGCCGAAAATTAGGTTCAGTATCACTGACCAAGCTTCTCGTTTTAACTCGACTGGTTATGCTCCCATCAGCTGATTACCAAAAGAAAATTATCAAAAGAAATAAAGCATCTCCATAGATTTTCACACAAACAAACCAATCATTAAATCAATGCCCTACAGGTTCTACTCACCCAGGAGCCTACAGGCCTTGCTTGCATTTTCAACGACTGGGTAGATGACCACTTTCATTAAGATTTCAGGGAGCTTAATTAGCTCAAAGACACATATATCACTAACATTCAGATTATTATCCTTTGCAAATGCTCTCCAACCACCTTGGAGTCGTGCATGTGGATTTTTATTTTCTGCAGTGCGATAGTACTTGGCTGGCCAAGTTTTCCCAGCAGAATTACGTAAGGTTAGATGACCCTTATGCACTGTCAAAAATTTCCTAGCAAAGTTCGATGGTAAAGCCTGGAAAGCAACAAAGGGAAAAGAAACCAGAATATGAAACTTTTTTGGTCCAAACAAGAGTACAAATACTAGGTAAGTTAGTAATTTCAAGCATCTTCGAGTCAGCAAAATGTCGATTTAGAGAATAGCCAGGTTCTCGTTTTAAATGTTACCATACTAAATTTATAGCGAACATATGATGGACGCATGACCACCATAAAAACTGGATTTTTTATACTTGTCAAAGCCCTAGCAGTTTGAATTGCGTGAGCCTTTTCGGTGGCTGTCAACCGTTGCGCATAGCTTCGAACCTCTGCTTTCACAATTCTCCGAGTTGTAATGCCTCCCAACTCCTTTTGTAGCTAGACTCGGAACTCATAGTAATAAACAAAATCAATAGGCAGAAAAAGGAAAAATGACATGAGCATCTAAATTTGAAGATCTCAAAAATAAGCACTGTCAAAATTAATATTAAGAATGCATACCATCAGGTTGTCCAAGTCCTTTAGAACAACATGATTTTTCAATTTTCTTGAGATTTCCAAGTTTAATCCTTCTAGTGTTGGGGTCATCAGGGCTACTGTGAGAAGATAAAATCTCTAACTTTGAATTAGTTCGATTAGAGGAATTAGTTCTCAATTTCTTGCAAGGCTGAGGACACGGCAAATGTAATTTCTCTTTATTTTTCCTACTCGCTGAAACGGCATCACAAAGCTCAACAGACATATCATCATCACCTTCAGTACCAGTATATGGATATTCGATCTCCGAAGCACTCTTATAAAAAATTAGCACATGAAAATGAGCATTCCCTTCATATCTGAAAACCAAAAAAGATCCAAATTCCAGTGAATAATGCTCTGCAAATTCTTGCCAACCCT